TTGGTAGAGTAGGGAGTTCATTTCATCCGTACAAGCTGAAGTGAATGGCCGAAAAATGGGTTGAGGATTTCCTTGAATCCACTTTTTAGGTTAAATTGTATGGAGCCATGGGGGTTTGTTTGTTGTAGAGTAGTTGGTTTTATGGAGACTGATCTTAAAGCTCCTTCTCAGCATTGAGGAGAAGCGGAATTTTTAGACGGGTGGTTGATTCAGCTACTTCTCCCTTTTGAGTTCGGCTTCATTCAGTCAGTGCAATGACCGTTCGAACACTCTTTATAGCCTTGTGTTGGGAATATCTTCATACTTATTTACTTTATTTTATGAGGAGATATTTCCAATGCAAGAGGCTGTTGAAACAGTGTGAGCATGGACATGGACTTGCACTAACTGAAGCCGGTCTCCTCCCTAACCAGACCTCCTTACTGATCGCCATCTTCATTAATAAACCACCCTTGAATCCGTGATGATAAGGAGACTTTGTTATATACTTAAGGGTAGGGATGATTAGTAGCCACCTGGACATCAAAAACAGCTTACCCACTACCGAAAGCTACAAGAACCAACACAAGAAAGGGGCAACATTTCCTTAACCACGCATGGTAGTTATCAAATCTTAAAAGGGAATACTTCAAGTTTGATTAGGGGATTTTTTATCAGTGTAGAACATGTCAACAAGTTTTTGGACCTCTGATGACTGAGCAATTGAAACCAATCACAATCAGATTACTGAACCCACAAAACAGAGAAAGGTGAACTTTCTGGCCGGCTTACTCAGGAATTCAGGCTCCACTCACTTTTTGGTAAGTTATTTATTCGGGTAAATGCATTTATCTAAGTAAATATTTTTCTAGGAAAGACTTATCCGAGTTAGTGCATTTACCAATGTTCTTTTATTTTCCATGTAAATAAGGCAATGACCATTTTAGCCATAAAAATCCAATATTAAAAGAGGAATTTTTGTCTCATTCAAGTATTGACAACTCCCAAAATGTGAATGGGGCCTTAGAATTATCTGCAATATGTAATGGAGAAATCAAGCTAACCATATTAAGTCTGCATTGAGGACCTAGCACTATGCAAAGTGGACAAGCAATTCAGGGTCTGTTTGGTTTGCGGAAATAGGGGTCTAGAATCAGAATCGGAATTATCCACTCCAATCCTAACTACTTGTTTGGGTGGAACTGGAGTCCAATTCCCATTCCTAGTGGAATGATATTTTTCCATTTGAGGGAATGGTCATTCTAGTCGACTCTGACTCTGATTTCAATCACAATCTCAACCATGCAAGTGGGGAAGACCAATCCAATTCCAATTCCAACTGTAGACCAAACAGATCCTCAAAGCCTCGAAAGGTACCCTCGTAATATTTCATTTTTTTTTTGAGAAAATCTTAAGGCTGTGTTTGGAAACGATACAAATAGAGTGTGAATGCAAATATGAAGAGTATAAAACGGTTCATACAAATGCAAAGTTGGGTTAGTTTTGCATTGATAAATTTACCTTCTTACCAAATAGACTTTTATCTGTAATGGATGCAAACACGAACCCAATAAAGTATATGCCTTTTTTAACAAAACCCTACTTTGAATGCAAATTTACTTCTTTTTTATCAATGCACATTTACATCTCATTTTCAATATAAATATGCATTGGAAAATGTATTTTCTATCATTTGTCAATGCATAAATGCATTCTTACCAAACACTGGCAAAACTAAATCAAAGTGCATATTTACCCTGAATCTGGATTTATACTTCATTTGCATATTTATCCTGACATGAATTTTTTTGACGAATATAAGGAAAAATTTTATTAAAACTGAAAAAAGAAAGGAAAGAATGTAAAATAGAGATCAAGGCGGCAATGAAGTTGTAAAAACAAGTTTGATATAACAGATACCGTGAAAGCACTGTTGACTCTATGTGTTGAACAGAGAGGCTGGAAATGCTACACGCCTACACCCAATATATATAAATGAATGTATAGTGGTCCTAGATCAATAGTACACGATTTATAGCGCGTGGTACCAGCACCGCCAATTTAATTTGCATTAAAAGAATTTTATAAACTACAATTTCTTCAAACCTTTTTATGTGTACAGTGTACGAAGTATAGGACATAGCACGCCTATCTCATAGTAGGAATCAGGAAATGCTGTGCCATATATCCCCTCTCTTTTTGACTGGACACATATTTGGATTTTATTATTAGATTGAGTGGGACGTATTAATCCTGCAGTTTTGAGGGAGTTCAAATCAGCCCCACGAGTTTGCCCCTCACAACGTTCCACAGCACATCTTTGCCATGTATTGAAAGTATTTTTCGATAATAATATCATCATTTTTAAAATTATCATCAGATGATGTTTACAATACATGGTGGGGATGCGTCGTGGAATATTGTTGGGGGCAATCTTGTGGGGGGCTGATTTGGTTTCGTTTTGAGGTTAATTTCAATTTCATTACTAATGGAGTATCAAGACTAAAACTAATGCATATGTTCTGATTGTGAATACTAGAAGAAATCAGTATGTCTACTATCATATTCATCTACTTATTATCTGATTTCCCATCTTTCTGAAGATTAATTAAGATTTTCTGTATATGATGACAGATGGGAGAGACCAGGTTCCACCATGAATTTTAGCAAACCGGATCACTTAATAGTTTAAGCTTTTAGATTGAACGGTTCTTTGAGATGGTATCAGAGCCACTTTGACCAAGTGGTCTAGTGTTTGATTCTCGTCACCCCCAATAAAATTAATTAAGTTTTAGCACAAGGTATGTGTGGGCATGTGTTGTCCACGCTTCAACCCAATGGGCTTTCGTGTGAGGGGCCATTTTAGAGAATAAAACATATTAAAGGATCTCACTTAACAACTTAAGCTTTTAGGTTGAATGGTTCTTTGAGAATGCTGAATTTTCTTTTAAATCCTCTTACGGATGCTACATTAAAGCTTCTATGTATAGATATCACTAACTAACATTTAACTAGATTTGAATTTAAAGCATGGTTTTTGAACCGTCGTTGACCCAGACGGTTGGACCGTTCGGCTTGGAAACCGTCCAGGCAACCAGTTCCGTTTTACCCCAAATCCGGTCTTTGGCCAAAAACTGTTGAATCAGTCAATGACCTGTTGACCCAAATGATCAATCCATTCAACGATTTTTGGCCATTTTTACTTTTAACTATTTTTTATCAGAATGGGCCGTCCGTTCGAACTAGATGGTCGAACCGTTGACCCCGAAACTTGTGGCCAAAACGATTCCATTTTCAGATCATTTTTTAAAACCATGGTCTAAAGTATAAATGAAAGTAAAATTAAAAATCAAAGATATAATAAAGATAAACTGATATAAATCAGAATTTGTCTGATTATTGTATTGATCAATGAAACATGCATGATATTAAAAGCACTAGATGAAAATATGGTTTTGAAAACAAAAGTTCATCAAGGACATATTTTGGTTTCATTTTGAAAAACGGAAAATTTACTGGCCTGGAAAACCAAGAAGATATTTTCTATGGTTTTGTTTTAATAATAAAATAATTAAAGTTTTTTCAAAACCAACTATAGGACCCGGTTTTCCTGAAATCACACCACAGAAAACAACTCACACCGGAGAGCACCCCTTTTAACTTTAAGATAGTAATTTTTTTTAAAGGTAGTAGAGAGGTTTAGCTTTCAATACTATTGCTGGTATCTATATATGTTTTAATCATTTTTATTAATTTCTGTGATGAAATACCCTAATTACTACTATTACCAACACTGTTAATTGGAGTTTAAATTTCATGGTTGTTGCCGAATTTATATACAGTTATTAGTCATTATCATCATCTTTACCATTTGATGGTGATTTGGGTGTTGCTGATGATGATATGGGAGAGAGTGCATTAATGATAATGAGAAAGCAAGAAATTTATGATTAAATGAGAGAAGCAACAACACAAACGAATACATTTATGAATTGGAGATGAAATACGTATAAACTACTTATGAGTTAGATCTGGGTATGGCAAATATACTATCACCATCTGCATATGGTCGATGAAAAGCATCTTGAGTTCCAAATAACTGCTAAATAGGCTTAATGAGATTCCTACACCTATCAGTGGTTAGCCAATGTGAAAACAGAAATTTAAGAAAGTAACCCAAATGCCCCCACTAACCATGCTAGAGTTTCAAACAATTTCTAAATGGGCTTAATTAGATTCTCACACCCATCAGTGGTTAGTCAATGTGAAAACAGGAATTGGGGTCGTTTGATAAGTTTTTTTGGGAAGATTTTTTGACAGTTTTGACAGTTAAAAGACGTATTGAGCTTTTACATTAAGATCTAAGAAGTCGATCTGAAACCTGTTTGATTAAGGCGTGTATTTTCGTGCATCTTTCCATGTGAAGACGAATAAAAAAACACGAAAGCTCTAATTGGAGCTTTCCAAAAATCGTCCAATTTAAATTTCTCGCATCTTTTCAATGCATAGTTTTTAGTGGCTAGATCTGCTTTAAACCAAATGAAAAAAGACTGAATTGCGGTCTGCTGGGCTTGTAAATAGAAGACAGACCGTGAGAAAAGACGCGTCAAACAAAGCCGAAGTAACCCAAATGACCCACTAAACCATGTAGAGTTTCAAACAATTGCTAAATGGGCTTGATGAGATTCTCACACGCATCAGTGGTTAGTTGAAAACAGGAATTAAAGAAAGTAACCCAAATGCCCCACTAAAGCATGCTAGAGTTCCAAACAATTGCTTAATAGGCTTGATGAGATTTTCACACCCATCAGTGGTTAGCCAATGTGAAAACAGGATCTAAAGGAAGTAACCCAAATGCCCCACAAAACCATGCTAGAGAACTTACCCATGTACCAACCAAACAGGACAAACTCGCATGAATTGCTGAGCTAGATTAGTTTGGTTTTCCTTGGTCCTCATTTCTCACTCTTTTGGTGGTAGCTAGACGGAGGCCATTAATTTTGTCCACTACATATTACCTTGCAGCTAGCAACAATTCTATATAAAGTCTGCCAAAGCCCTAGCCTTCAATATTACTAAATGAGCGAAGAGAGTAATTAGAACATAGAATTGGAAATTCAGTCCCAAGATTATTGCTTGTCTGCAACCATCTCTCCATGGAGTGTCTTCCTCTTCTTGTTGCCTCCCTGGTGGTAGGCCTAGCAGTAACTCTGTGCACTCTTGCTCCACAGGCTGAGGCCCGTGCATTCTTTGTGTTTGGTGATTCGCTTGTTGACAATGGCAACAACAATTACCTGGCCACCACTGCTCGTGCCGACTCCTATCCTTATGGCATCGACTACCCAACTCATCGACCCACCGGCCGCTTCTCTAATGGCCTCAACATCCCAGACATTATCAGTCAGTCTCCAAAACTTAGTTTCCTCTTACTTTATTCTGCTAGCTTCATGTCTGGAATCTGGATGATGCTTTGCATTAGAAAACTACTTTTGAGTTTTGACATTGTTGGTTGTATATATATATGTCCTATCATCAGGTGAGGCAATGGGTGAGGAGTCTACACTACCCTACCTGAGCCCAGAGCTCAGAGGAAAGAAACTACTAGTTGGTGCCAACTTTGCTTCTGCTGGGGTCGGAGTTCTGAATGACACAGGAATCCAATTTGTAAGCAGCATTAATGATATATCAAACAGATTCACCAAATCTGTTGTTATTTGATCAACTGACATTGCACTAACCCAGGTCCCAGTAAATGTAAATTAAAATTCAACGATTAATTGCAGGTAAGCATCATCAGGATCAACCAACAATTGCAGTACTTCCAACAATACCAGCGACGTGTAAGTAAGATGATTGGAGAAGAACAGACACAGCAACTTGTGAACCAGGCGCTCGTCCTCATCACCCTTGGTGGCAATGATTTCGTTAACAACTACTACTTGGTGCCGTTCTCGGCAAGATCGCGCCAATACTCTCTCCCAGATTATGTTCGCTTTGTCATCTCTGAGTACAAGAAAGTTTTAGCGGTAATAATGTCTTCCTTAATTTGGATTTGCATCATATACATGCACTCATGCACACTCAGCTCTACTCTGTGCTTTCATGGAGTTCTCGCTTTACTCTGTTCATAGGCATCTTGTTTTTTGTTCTTGTGAGCGAGCTGGGTCCTCTTCGTACGCAAGCAGAGAGAGAGGGAGAGGGAGAGGGAGAGGGAGAGAGAGATTTAATACGAGTTATATCTGCTTGCCCGGTTTCTGCATGCACCATTAAAGCATTCATAGCCAACTACCGTGCATTTATAGAAGGAACGAATCCCATAACTCTATCGTGTTCAAATCAACCCTCTACAGTGCCAATGAGTCTGAATCTGCTCCACAATGCGCGCCTCACAGCGTGTTCTGGCTGCACATTGGGAGCATCTCATATATTCTTATTCGTGGGGAGATGTTCCCAATCCAGGGTGAGATGTGGCTGTGACGTCGGCGTGAGGTGTGCTCTGTGAGGAGCAGATCCCAATTCTGTGGTAGGCCACGTCAGTTTCAATTACAAAGGTCCCACACATCCTGCTGACGTAGTATGTTCATGGTTGAACCAGTAAAGTTGGTCCCACACAATTTTACTTTAAATATTTCTTGCTTTTGTTATTTGGGTGGGCATTACTTTAAACATTTTTTTTATTTTTCACCTTGGATTAATATCCCATAAAAGTGTGCAATATATGCATTTCATTTCAAGAAATGTCGGGGCATTGGGGAAAATAAGAATTTGACATTTCCCTAAATGTCTATGCACAAAAATCCAAGCATTTATGATTTTTACTGTTTATTTAATAAATAATAAAATCAAGGGAAATTGTCTAAAACTCACCATGAGTTTTCAGCATTTCTCTTAAATTCATCACAACTTTTTAAAACGTCTAAAACTCATCATGTCATTAAGCTTTTATTTTCCAAAACTCACCTTCCGTTAGTGCACCGTTATTGTTTCTTAACAGAGGTGTCCACACCAGCATAAATAACAATTTTTATGACCAAATCACCCTTGAATGGCGAGTTAGAGGAAAAGGGTCTTTTTCATTTTTCAATTTTCTTTTTTTTACATTTTTAGTGTTTTGTTACAATTTCTAATATTTTTTTTATAATTTCTGTTTTTTTACATTTTCTATTTTCTACAATCTATAAAATTTCCTGTATTTTTTGTTATTTATTTGCAATTTTTGTGTTTTTCTATAATTTTTGGTGTTTTTTCTACAATTTTTATTTTCTGATTTTGTTTTTTAATTTCTATATCTATTTGAAAATAATTTTTATTTTTTGTGCAATTTCTATAATTTTTTATATTTTTTGCAATTTTTGTGTTCTTATGTATTTTATATTTGAAAATATTTTTTGAACCTTTTCCTTTTTTACATGTCTAAATATTAAAATATATGTATATATTTTATATTTTCTTTCAAAGTTAAAATGGTAATATATTAACAGCCGTTAGTCTCTTTAACGCCAAGTTAGTGACGTGGTGAGTTTTAGACATTTAGAAAAGTTATGATGAATTTAAGAGAAATGCTGAAAACTCATGGTGAGTTTTTGACAATTACCCTAAAATCAGACAGTGTTTCATGCACAAGAGATCGGATCTGCTACTCACAAAGGGTGCCTCACATGCATATCCTACCATGCATTGGGAACATCTCCCATACTTATAAGTTATTATTCACGAGAGATGTTCCCAATGCACCGTGGATGTACCTGTGAGGTGTCCATATGTGAGGAACAGATCTCATTCTTGTGATGGGATCTCCCATTCTCGTGGAAGATGTTCCCAATGTATATCCTACCATGCACTGAGAACATCTCCCGTATAATAAACACCAATGCCCATGTGGGGTTGATGTGGCAGCATTTTCTTAATAAAGGCCGTATGATTTTGACATTTTGACCAAAATTTTAAGAGACACCACATTGAAGAAGAATTACTTTTATTGAACAACGTCTGACATTCTGTGTATTGTGTATTAATGCAGAGACTGTATGAACTAGGAGCACGTAGGGTTCTTGTGACGGGAACTGGGCCCATGGGCTGTGTCCCAGCTGAGCTAGCCATGCGTAGTGTGAATGGTGAATGTGTAGTGGAGCTGCAACGAGCTGCTGACTTGTTCAACCCTCAACTGACTGAGATTATAAAGCAACTCAACTCTGAAATCGGTTCAGATAACTTCATTGCTGCAAATACAAATCGGATGCACATGGATTTCATCAGTAACCCACAAGCATTTGGTACGTTTGAGAATGGCTGGGGCTTAGTGGCTATTTACGTTTGGTCTAATTCCATAAAGTTTGTATATAAATTAATGTGGGGTTTGGCCCTTCTTCTGTTGCTTTCTATGCGCTGGGCCAGGTTGGATTTGGACTGCAATTTAATTTCTTGGACCACCCACCTGTCCATGGATCGATCTAGCCATTGCTGAATCTAATGTGAACCCATTATCCATAAAGGCGCATGTGTATGAAACACTAGTGTGTTAACTCGTCATTTATATAGTACGTCTATATACAGTTGTGCACGTAATAGATCCTAACACTATAGTTTCGAAAACACCCTTAACAGCTCTTATATCAACCCTTAAACAAAAACCATGGGTAAAATTGATATTTTATTTATTTTCTTTTGAGACATTAGGGTCCGAATGTTATTTCTTACTCTGTCTAATAAAAACAATGAAAAGTAAAGTAGTTGCAAACTATTAGTGGTCTCTTTCTCCCTTCCCTTAGTTCTGTATTTTTTTTTTTTGTGTTTGAGTAATGTTTATATTTATTTTCCAAAAAAAAAATCTATAAGGGGTGTCTTAGTCACACACAAAATATAGGGTAGGTTTTGGTGTAAATATGTGAAATTAGGGCTGCAAGTCAGGCTGGGTTGGGTTGAGCCAACCATAGTCCAACCCTAAGTTTTAAATCCCCAATCCAAAGTCAATTTCGGGTTAGGCCCAACCCAATCTTCTTCCCATCCCTTAAAATCTCTTAGAATGTCTTAACCTTAAATCTTAACTCAACTTTTATTACATATATTAATCCTATATTTTAATTAGTATTTGTTTGTTGATGTTTTTATTGATTCTTTAAATATAAAATTCAGAAAAAAAAAAGTGTTTGAAAAGACTATAGTTTATTATGATGACTTTTAATAGATTTTTTTTATGGGCAGCAAGCTATGGGTAACAAACAATAGAGATGAGATAAAAAATAAAATATTCAGAAAACATAAAATACGTTATCAAGGTTTTAATATTTTCAATTAGGATTAAGTAAATTGATTGTCTTAAATAAAATAAATGATAGTATGTGGTGGTGGCTATACAACTATCATGCATCTAAACAAATCAATCTATGATATGTACTACAGAGTCGGGTTGTCTGAGGGGTTAACCCTAACCCAACCCGAAGTAAAGTCGGATTCATAAATTTCAACATTAACCCTAACCCAAGCATCAACCTGACCCAACCCAACCCGACTTTTTCAGATTGGATTAGGGTTGGGTTCAGCTGACTTTTTCGAATTGGGTTAGGGTTAGGTTCGGACAAACCCAACCCAAGTTGCAGATTTATGTGAAACTACAGGGGTGTTAAGTAAATGACCCAGACACAAAAGAAAATCAAAATTCTTGCTTCTTACTTTTCTTCAGAAGAAACCATGGTGTCTGACTAAATGACCCAGAAAAAAGTGTAAGAACACAGTTCATGGTTGATTTATACTCTTTTCCTTAACATTTAACTTGAACCAGGTTTTGTTACATCAAAGATAGCATGCTGTGGACAAGGGCCCTACAATGGGATAGGACTTTGCACGGCTGCCTCAAATCTGTGCCCCAACAGAGATGTCTATGCATTTTGGGATCCATTCCATCCAAGTGAGAGAGCAAACCGGATTATTGTTCAACAGATCCTGGCGGGATCAACTGATTACATGCACCCCATGAATCTAAGCACTGTAATGGCTCTGGATGCCAAGATGATGACTTGATAACTGCTCCATTTTCAGGCTTCCTTCTAGCTAGCTAGCAGGTAGTGTTACTATTTATTGTTCATGGCGTTTGCTTGCTCAGAGTCAGAAGTCTCCACAGTAATTAACATGGGCGTTTGCTTTCATGTCTTGCTGCAGGGCCTTCAGCTGTCTTCTATTATCCCAGGATTTATATAGGGTTAATTATATTAATCTTTCAAATTGTCTGTTTAATTCCTTGGTGCTTGGGCATTAGTAAGGGTCGTCTTAATTAGCAGAGATTAATTTATGTTTTGGTTGTGTTGAAAGGAGAAAGGTGTATCTTTAATGGAGGATTATAAGTCAAATTCAAAGACTGATTATGGAGTTCAGAATTGCAATAAGACTTCTATTATGAGATCAATTAATGATTTAGTGCATTTGATGTTAAAGCCATTATTACTTAACAGGTCTTGTCTTTAAGGCTGCGTTTGGAAACGATGCAAATGGAGTGTAAATCCTGGTTTAGGGTAAATTTGCACTCTGATTCACTTTTGCATGTGTTTGGCAACATTACATTTATATATTGACAAATGATAGAAAATATATTTTCCCATACATATTTACATTGATTATAAAATATAAAATTACATCAATAAAAAAGAAGTAAATTTGCATTCAAGTGGGTTTTTTGATAAATAAAAAAACATACACTTTATTGGAATTCGTATTTGCATCCATTACAGCTAAAAGTCTATTTGATAAAAGGTAAATTCGTGAATGCAAAACTAACTCAACTTTACAATTTATATGAACGGTTTTACACTCTACATATTCATATTCACACTTAATTGCATTGTTTCCAAACACAGCCTAAAAATCAAAGATATTGTTTAGTAACTAGCCTGATCTACCGGGCTATTAAATAAAAGATTTTAGATACGGAAAGATGGTTTGAAGATTTCAGATTTTTGGTCGTTTTGGACTTCCTCAATTTTTTTTAAATGTGGGACTTTCTGACTTCCCATCTTTCATTAGCAGAGAAGAAAAGATTGTTTCTCTTTTTTGGTTTTAAATGGACCCATAATTTTTTCAAGTGATCATCATGTCAATATCTTTTTATCTTCCATGGAGAAGAGCTCTGCAATATACAAGAAGTTTAATGCCCTCATAAATATTGACAGGTAGCGGACAGATCAATGGTGCAATTATAGGACACCTCCCAACCCAAACTGTCTTAACGTAAAATTCAACAAGGTCACATCAGATGATAAAATCCACCTGAATGGAGCCCGCCCACATTAACTGGAGACAAGATTGTACACACCAGGCTGGACTACTTGTCACGAGTGAACAACCCAGTGTTCAGTACAGATGAGGCCAGATGGGATAAGATCCCATCTTAGGTCATAGGTGGCCCAGCCCCGTGTGTACAATCTTGTCTCCAATTCATCCCGATCCACGTGAATGAGCCATTCAATTTAGCAATTCACGCTTTTTGTTTACGGAATGTTTAGGCTGCATTTGGTTGTAATGCAAATGCAAATATGTACACTACATATTTACCTATTTTTTGGTTTATGAATACAAATAAGGTTCACATTTTAAACCATTTTTGCATTCATCTTGTTTGTTTGAAATCGGTACAAAAGTGTTGGTTCATCATTAAATGCTTCGATTATCTCTTATGCTCCATTGCATTAATTTTGATTAAAAAGTTAATTATCAAAAAAACACAAAATTGTATCAAAAAAATAGGTACAGTTATGTTCTTTTCTCAGAGTACAAAACTGTCAGAAAATACATTTTAACTCTGATAATCATCACTTTTTTACATTTCAAATAAACACGAACCAAAATACATAAATACCTCAATTTGACGTTTGTAAGCTTGAGCTAGTAGTTAAACCATCCAGTAACCACGAAACAATCCCTCTCATCAACATCTACACCTGTTTCTGTGTGTGTGAGAGATAGAGAGAATTACTCTCGGGACCCATTGGACTTAAAAAGTGTTGTTAGATGAGATTCCTAAATAGATTTTTATTCTTCTACACGCCCCTTTATGAAAAAGGGTATCTGACTTTAAGTGTGAATAAGTACAGAACTACTCATAACTTGTGTTAAAATTTAATCAATTATGATGAAGACGATGAGGATTGAACATTAGACCACTTGCTTAACCTACCAAATCTTCCTCCACAGATTTCAGCTCTTCAGGTTTCGTTTCAGATTGGTTATTTTGCACCCTAGCAAGGGCTGACAAGTATTAATTTGTTCGGTTCTATTAGGTTCAATCAAAGCCAGCTAAAATAACTAAAGTTTTTAGTGCACGTATACATGACAAAACCGTTGAGGAGCAGATAACAAAGATATCAACTTTTGCAAACTCAAAGTTGGGTCTTAATTGGGGGTTTAAACGATACAATCAATTTGTAGGATTACGAAGGGAGAAAAATGAAAGCTCATAAGCCATCAAAAGCTTTCAAAAATCCCTATGTTTGTTCAATTACACAAGCTGCAGTAGTGTGTTCGTTGAAAGCTCCATGAGAGGTAGAGACAAGTAACCAGCTGTGCATTCATGGTACTACTTCACATGGTTTTTAAAATCGGACCGAACTGGCTGGTCAGACTGGAAAAATTAAGAATCGATTGATCAGTTCCGTTTTACCCCAAAACTGTTAAAAATCATTGATTTGATTAGCAAACTGCTGACTCAGTCGGTCAAACCGTCCAACAGTTTTGGCCGTTTTTTATTTTTTAAATCTTTTTGTCAAAACGGGCCATCTATTTGGTTCAAACAATCGGACCATTCGACCCAAAAACCGGACCCCTGACCGGTTCATTGCCCGATTCTGTTTTAAAAACCTTGCTAGTTCACAGAGATGATGCACCTTGACAGGTTAGTAATCTAGAAGCAAAGTGGCTTTTAATACAATGAATCCACGATTCATGTGCTTTGCTATCTTCTATAACTTTTGAACACTATTCAATAGTAAAAGTCACGATGAAGATGTTTGCTTGTAAAGTCCTAGGCGTCTGTAGGAGGGAGAGAGAGAAGTAATGTCCATTGGTGTGGTTATTTAATCATAGAATCATTGATTAAGTTAGAAAGCGCTTGAACACTTTCTGCTATTCACTTTTACTTTGTGTTTTCTCTAATTTTGCATTCCAGGCATGGATTAGTGTAATTCAATGTTCTATGTCGCTTCAGTTTTGTATAACTTGCATTCAAGGATCAAAGTATTGTATTGGACAAAAAAATGGATACAATATAAAAATACATATAAATTTTATAAATATATTAATAATACTAAATTTAAAATTAAATAACCAAAAATAATGTATAAATACATACAAAATAATATTTTAATGGTATATATTAAAAAATATATTACAATTAATATAGCAGGATATAAAAATATCATACAATTGTGTTGATAATGCATTAATCAAGTGTCCAACACACACAATATATGCACATATTATGTTTTAATATTATATCAATTATTTTCTATTTTATTATTTTTACTTTTTTACATTAACAAAAAAGTCAACCAAATATTAAATTCAAAAAAATAATTTAAAATATCAATTAATAATTTATAAAAATATATAATCTCAATTTAAAATATATCAAATCCATTAAAATTTTCTAAGATACATATCATATGCAAATTTGTAATTTTAATTATTAAAATAATTATTCCATTACTAACATTTTTGTTTCTATAATTTTTCTAAAAATAAAAACAATTTTTCGATATAAATGTTGATTAATAGATTTGATAGATTCTACTTAATATTATGTTTATATTTAATCTAATGTAAATGAAAATATTAATTAATGATTTATATATAAGTACTAAATAATTATTCTATTAGTAATATTTTATTTGTATAAATTTCTTGAGATTGAACTCATCTTTGGATGATAGATTATTTATTTCATTAGTTTATAAAATATTAATTTTAAAAATTATTATTTTAAATTTTTAAACATAAATATGTATTTAGGTTACATGTACATACTAAATTTAATAAATCCTATTTTATATCAATTATTAACATAAGAATTAAGATGGCTTAGCGGTTTAAGGTTGTTTTAAGGATAAAGTGCAATGCACGTTGGCCGATTTGGATAGGCCTGTAAGCGGTATCCGGAAATTCGATTCTGAATTCGAGATTCAACTTAAATGAATCGAATTCAGCTATTTCAATCAAATAAATGCTCGAATTCAAATTTAATTTTTATACCGATTATTTAATCGGATTGAATTCTAATATGACTTGATTCGATATATTTAAATTTACATGCATAGCCCCATTGTATCTATGTTTCTTTAATAGTTTGAGGGTATAATGGTAAAATCATTTTACCCAACAAATCTTCTTTTCCATTCAAAAATCTGGTGCATCCTCCAAAAAATCTCCTTTCCCCCAAAAAATCAGCGAAGTCTCCAAAAAATTTCCTTTCCCATTCGAAAATCCAACTCTTCTTTACTTCTCTTACTGTGTATTCTTTGAAGAGGCAAAATGGCAACTGGAGTAGGAGAAATATTGCCGCTACAACATTCCTTTACAAAGTTTGGTGCTAATACTTTGTGATGAGGGAGGATTTGGCCCTCCAATGACATTGTGACACATGGCATCTTGGAACAACTGGATGACACCCAGAAGCACTTAGGCGACAACTTACCTTAGCCAACATGATGGTATCCCGACCTAGCGACCTGGCACAGGCGCCGACCTAGCACAGGCGCCGATCTAGCGACCTCGACCACAACTCAGGTCGGCTAAAAGCACCTCGTCCAGGGCCGACCTGCAGCACCTCGTCACTGACCGAAGTGACCTCGACGCAAGGAGCGACCTCCCTCGAGGGCGTGCCGGCCTGACTGAGGTCCAGGTGGCAACCTACGAGACATGCTCACCAACAAATTCAGCATGCATATCCCAACACTCCCACGATCCTTGGAAGTTGGCGCACGTACCGAACATTCCGGAGGGTGGTCAATGTGCATGGCGATTGCCTCCGGGAATCTCGGACCACTTAGGCGACCTCTCGGAAATCTCGGATGCGGTGCATGAAGCACATGCCAAACAATGCCTATATAAAGGCACCAACCCCAATGACATAGGGGGGGCAAGTAAGCACATTCTAGCTCTCATACTTTTATGATTTTTTAACTCGCGATTTACTACTAGTTTACTAACTTAAGCATCGGAGCGACCTCGTTGGGTTAGCCACCCCGGGTCCTCTGACATTGATTCCTTGCAGGTCTCTAAAGAACTATGAAGCTCAACAATCAATGCAGCTCAAACTGGTCAGCTCAGCATCCAGGTCCTCACCCAGCAAAATTCTCCACTTCGGCCTCTGAGTCATCGGCCCCTTGGAAGCAGACCGAATGACGAGGTACTTAGCTCAAAATTGATTCATCAC